AGAGACGATCGTCACTAACACAATCACGCTATTCTTTTCGTATTTCTTGCATATACAGAACTTCGAGCTAAGATGGTCATGTTGCAGCATGTTTGTATTTTGGTTATTACAGAAGAAAATACACGATTTATAGGATCATTGGTATAAAAACAGGACGTTCTCTCTATCTCATATCTCTCTATACAGTCACACAATCACAACAATTAGTTATCTGAGAAGTTATAACTTCCGAAGAAATGTGTTATCTAGCTCCGACCTTTTCTACTAATATGTTATGATGTTCAACAAAAATGTATACAGATTCAAAAGGAGAAACCATTCACAAAGACCCGTGATCTCTGATCAGCTCGCAGTCGCGCGACGCTTCGGCTAATAAAACGCGTACAGACAGACCCGAAGTGCTAGATCTCCGACATTTCGGCTCGCAAAGTTAGTTGCACGCCGTGGTCCATTAGTATTAGTATGGTCCATTAGTTTGTATTTTGGTTATTACAAGAAAATACACGATTTATAGGATTATTGATATAAAAACAGGACGTTCTCTCTATCTCATATCTCTCTATACAGTCACACAATCACAACAATTAGTTATCTGAGAAGTTATACACTGAGAGAAAAAAATAGTTGGAATAACTATAATCTCACTATATTTTATAGTTCGTTTTGTATCAAACGTATATTTATAGTTCATCTAAATATGAAGATATAGTAGAATGAACACAGATTTATAGTCACCATCTTATTATTCTATATGTATGGTAAAGCACTTTTTGGGAATATAGTTACATGTACCTATATTTGCCAAATATTCCAATTGTATTGACTATATAAAATAGTTAATTTCTCTTACCATTTAATACCTTATTATATTTTTTATTTCAAATAATTATAATTCTTGGTAAAAATTTTACACCAGGGTCAGTTATACCATGCTTATATTGTAAGTATTACAAATATTATGGTAACATTTACTATAAAAATTATATTCCTAACTATAATCTTTTTACTATGCCATTATAATTCCAAATATCATACATTTTTCTCTCAGTGTAACTTCCGAAGAAATGTGCTATCTAGCTCCGACCTTTTCTACTAGTATGTTGTGATGTTCAACAAAAATGTATACAGATTCAAAAGGAGAAACCATTCACAAAGACCCGTGATCTCTGATCAGCTCGCAGTCGCGCGACGCTTCGGCTTATAAAACGCATACAGACAGACCCGAAGTGCTAGATCTCCGACATTTCGGCTCGCAAAGTTAGTTGCACGCCGTGGTCCATTAGTATGCCGTCGTGTCCTTCCTTAGTTCGCGATAGCCGTAGACGCGCGAGCCAACTGAACTCTCCCCCTTTCTGCCTCGCCCTCTCTGCAGCAGCCCTCATATGAACATCGCGGTAACAAGACACGTGCTACGCAGATGTCGCGTCCAGGACGCTCTCTCGACGGGACGCCGTCGTGATTTAGGCTAATTATGCGCGACCGGCCGAGTAGGTTTCTCCTACCACGGTCATATCTATGCCCTACCGGGATACGCGACCTCTCGCAGCCTCCGTCGTAGAACCCACACGTGTGGGTTCGCGACCAGCACACACGTACGCGCGTCCATTTTCCCGACTGAAACTGGTGTACGACCGTTTACCTGAGTACCTACCGTCGCGGGGCGGTCACTCCGTGCGAATTTTCGTCGCGACTCGGACGCGTTGAGAACGCTCGCGTTCACTCGTGCACATTACTGCGATTTACCTTTGCATTTCTATTCCCGCGTTTCCCTCCGTAATTATGTACACACGCATACACCGGGTTGCTCCGGGACTACGATTTCACGGATTCAACTGTCAACTGCTCAACATAGATCTTCACCTCGACGAAAATTGGACCGTATTTTTCGGAATTTTCGAATTTTCGATATCAAGTACCTCGATGGTTAAATCACAAACCGAAACGCGATGAGGGGTCCAAGATATCTTGTGCATGCAATGTGATATGATAACACATGATGTAAATATTGGGCCGTTAATCTATTTTTATTTGATAGATAAGCGTATAATAAATATTACGTTTTCCTGAATCTTCCGTTTGTGATGTCTCGGGTGTCTCGTGCTGTCACTTCGGCTTCTGTCATAACGGATTACCAAGCAAGTCGTGAGCAGTGGCTCGCGATGGTGACAACTTGGAGCGTGCTCCTAACTTCATTATAAAAAAATCTGTGCAAACCGTTTTGTAACCGACTATACATATATGCATATAGCTTATCGGACAAGGTGCACGTGTATGAGATATGCATCGAGCAGACGTAATAATTGTAATTCCCTTACACATGTAAATGCGGCTGTATGTAGCCGTCTTCAAATGTTATGTACAGCGCGGCACGCTTATACATGGTGTGTACAGCTACGAAATTACACTGGTGGCGGTGGTAGTGGTGGTTGTACTAAATACCGATCCTTGACTACGCGTATAATTATCCGCGCGTATCGGTAGACGGTCTTATGTACGGCTCCTCGCTAATATACAATGTGTCTACGGACGCGTATGTATGCCGCTCGTGTACCTATATACGTCGTATATCTCGACATTTTAATAGACTGAGCGGCTATCAACACAGAGAGAGAGAGAGAGAGAGGCGACTCCACACCTGTGCATTTGCATAAGTGTCTGTCATCGTTCGCGTTCTACATGCGAAATTCAGATATCGCGGTATACCGGGTATCTGCATTAACATTGCGCTCTGACCGCGAGCCACCTTGTACATATATCCCGTAAAGAAAATTTCTTGGCATCTAATTGTGGGAATCCTGTCCGATTCCCCAAAATCATTATAGCCGGTATTCAGAGTCAAATCTTAAATTTAAGACCACCTTAAGTTCACCTTCAGCGTATTCCTTCAGATACTCCATAACCAGTGAAATGATCTATCGGCATCTGAGGATGAACAGTCATTTAAGACAATCTTCAATATAAGATGTAACTATGAATATGGTTATGGCCGTGCATTCCCATAAAAACCTGAGCAGCCATGCGATACGCAATTGGGCGATGCTTAGAGCCGCGGGGGACCGCCGGGATGTATCGAGATACAAACTCGCAACTAGATTACGAGGGTTCAATAGGGAGAGAGATAGGAGAGATCCGCGAGGTCGAAAGGTCATCGACGGGACACAGTCCGCGCTTATACCTCGCCGTTATACTCCTTATACTCCCCGTTCCTCTTCCGCACCATGAAATATAGAAGAACGGTAGCCATTTCGTATCATTGTCGGCCGATACGACCGACGACACAGGACACACACAATAGTCCTCCGTTTGTCTCGGTCGCCTTTTTTTTTCCGAAATTAAATTTCCGCCGCCCCGTGGCGAAGCCGCGCTGCCGGTCGTCCCTTTGGATGACAAAATTTCGCGCAGTAACGGAATAAGAGATATAAACTACACAATCCCGTAGAGGAGCAGCAAAACTTCACGATGCAATCGGACCCAATAAATGTCGGAGGACAACAAGCCGACGAGATTTTCGAAGTGGCATGTATCGCGATGTGTTTCGCGGCGAGAACACGATTTGATGAAAAGAAGTGTAGATAGCGAGATGATTGCCGGTCTGGCGGAGAGCGTGCAACTTGGCAGGGTTTTACCTTCCTCTTGTGGTCCTCTTGTGAGACTCTTGCCGCATTCTTTGCGTACGCGCAATTAGCGACTTAGCTGCTGTGTAATCACGCGTGTCGTTAAGGTGTCTAAAGAAGCGTGGGCCGATTTTTGCGTCAGGCCTGTCTCGTTCGACAGTCGAATCCTGTGTTTAAAGTCGATTTGTGCGAGCAACTTGTTATTACACCGTCGATGCGAGGCACGCGGCATCACGTCGTAAAGATTACACGCGAAAAATCCAGCCGTTAAACACCAGTTGCAGGATTCCGGCGCGTTATACCTACTGACATGAGACACTCCTATATATTAGCCGCGACGAAGCCATGTGTATGTCTCGGAAGATACCATGGCGATATTTATTAACGCTCTCACCGACGGCTCTGCATTTACAAGAGAGAGAGAGAGAGAGAGAGAGAGAGAGAGAGAGAGAGAGAGAG